CATTCTGTTGTGAAGTGTCATTCTTCACATCACTGAAGAAGAGAAAGGGAAACCCTCTCTGGAACTAAGGGCAGGTGCTTTGCTTATTAAAAAAAATTAAAAAAACTTCCCTCCTGCAACTACAGTGTCACTTCCTTCTCAGTGCTAACCTTGCTTTTGTTGCAGAGAGGAACTAAATGCCTGAACTCTTCTCTTGCTTCTCTCAGAGATGGACTGGCCCTTCAGCAATGGTGAGATAAAGCTCTTCTCTGAGACAGAGCTTGGGCAACAATCTTAATGCAAAAGGTAACCAGGCAGAAATTACTGCAGTACTTTTCAGAGACAGTGGGAGTGACTGGTTAACATCTAAGGAAGGCTTTCAAGAACACCAAAACGAAGCTGATGCCATTTGGCATTAATGTTAAAGGCACTGGAGCTGCTTATGTTGTATTACATTTTAAATGAGAGTCTTCACAAACGGAGTAAAAAGAAGTAGTTATCATCTATCCTGAACAGCTGCCACCACCATTTCTTTGCAAGAGACAGGAGCTGGCCTGACAGGAGCTTGAAAAAAAAAAAAAAAGCTTGGAAAAAAGATTCACAGAACCCACAGTCCTCATGAGTGCTTTGATAGCAGAGCGAGGCACTTTATTTCATCTACAAACTGCACATTGTATTTCTGAGCAACATCTTCCACAAAGCTAAGGGCTGAGAATAAAGGCCAAGAAGCTTTCTTCCAGAAATTTGCTGTAAGCTGAAAACCACCTGTTTTCCTGCGCTGCAACCTGCCGGCCTGCTCGCTTTGGGAGCCTAACAGGAGGAACTGCTGCTAGCACAACAGTGTCACCTGCTGGCAAGCGAAGTGGCATGCGTCTGCTGTCTTCCCTGAACGCCACAGACTGCTCGTTTGCTTCACGTGAGATTAATGCTCTTTACATTTACGTGAATGATTAAAAACAAAGCAGCTTGGGTGCTTCAGCCTTTGTTTTTTGTATGAGGCATTTGTTATGCATTTGATATTGGCGAAGAACACACGAAAGTCTACTGTGGGTATTACTGCCCTCAAATACTTCACCTACAGGCCAGTGAATCTCACACTTCTGTGCATCTAACACACGTGTATTTCATACAGGTGACATGAATGACCACGTGGAAGAAAATGAAGAGAAAAGCAGCACTGCCCAGAAAACATCTGCAGAAGAATCTGTCTGTCCTGCTGCAGACAGAATGACAGCAGAACAACTGGTACGACTTCTCCAGTACTGTTTCAATGCCAAATTCCTTACCATTTGCCTTCAATTTGTTCAAAAATTATAAAAGCTAAAAGCTAGAGTCAATAGGAAAATACCACTAAAACAACTGTAAAATAGTTGAGTTTGCAGGGCAGTAATTTAGAGGGCTAAGCACATGCAAGCTCTAATGAAATAGAGAGGAAATAAAGAAGTATTCTTAGATCTATCTTCATAGAGTCTATCTAGTCTTAGAGGCTATCTCCACAGTGTTTTATATTTCCAACTTGAAATTGCATTACTTATGATCACAGACAGCAATGATGCTGACGTATATTTTCTGCACCAAAAGTCTACCCCAACTCCAAAGGAGAAATGGTTGAATACTACAGGAGACAGCCCAATACATTTTTATGAGAATTCAACAGAAAATACACAGCATCAGTGACACCTTTCTCTTGCTTCTCAGAAGCTGTGTGTCTCTATTAAAGATGTTTAGTTTAGCTTCTTCAATTTTATCCATGCTTTTCTCTTAGACCTCACTTGCCTAGTGCTCCCTTCCTGCACTAGCTGATCCTCCAAATATTTCCCTTGCCCTCAGCCTGCTAAGACAAAGCATGTCTAAATGAACCTCAGGGAAGAGTGAAGATAAGGGCTAATCTAGTCAATATGTTTATAATTATACATATTTTTTAATATTATGGATAAACTGAAGAAAAAAGTACAAGATTTCTGTCTCCCCAAGACAACTTTCAAACCATGCCACTGTATCAGAATAAGAATCTATACCCAGAATCCTATTAGGTTCCACATTCTATCAAGGCAATAGTCAGTTAACAGCTACACAAACAAATAGTCCTAAAACCATGATCTTAGTTTTATGTAGAGCTTTGCCTTATCTTCCTACCTGTGTTAAGTTAGCAAAGATACTAATTTTAATGCCATTTGGAAGCCAGTGAAGGCATTTGGTGGCTAATAAGTGCCCTCTCTAGTTACAAAAATTATAACCTTGCTCTTCTTTCTTTTTTTGTTTTTCTTTTTGTTTGTTTGTTTGTTTTTAGCAAAAAGTTAAGAAGGAACTAAAACACTTAATTTTTCAAAATCCAGGACCTCAGGTAGCTAACTTCAATCCTGAAACTAGAAAGCAGAGAAAAAAAGCACACAAGTCACAGATGAAACAAGACTGTTTTAATAAACCCAAGTAAGATGTATTAATTTATTACAACTTTTGCTTTTAAAAATGGTTTTCATGCTGTTTACTGAATATAAATGGAGGGAATAAGAGCATTAATATTTTTCAGAGATTTCTTATTACATATGAAAGATACATAGGGAAAATAAACTTTTTCTGTGCGACTCAGATTTTAACTTTTTCAGCACACACAATGCCTATTTCAATTAGGATCTAACACGTATTTTGACTGAGCTGCAAGTGTTGAAAAGGAAATATTTGTTCTTGGGCAGATGGTCTCCACATTTGCTGGGTTTAGGCTTTAAAAATGTCAAAGCACTTTCCAAGAATCACTGTTTCTTTGCTTTTGTAGAACTCTGAGTAAGTATGACAGTCACGGCCGGCTGCTTGGGAGTAACGCTGATTTGTGTGACTGCCTGGACGAGAACTGCCTGGGTTGCTTCTACCCTTGCCCCAAATGCAACTCAAATAAGTGTGGGCCAGAATGTCGCTGCCATAGGAAGTGGGCTTATGATACAATTGAGCTTGAAGATGGGAATGTGATCAATGCTTTCCCATTTCCTACTGATCCCTGATTTTGTTCCGATATGTTTGTACCTCAGTGAAGCTCTCCCTTCTTCATGTTTTATCATAATGGATCTCAGCTTTACAAATTATGAAATGTCTGTCACTGTTGCTTGCACTTCTTTATTGATGTCTCATCAGCACGCTTAAACATTTCATATTAAGTAAAATTGTACCAAGGCTCTTAGCTCTGACTCAGGCACATTTTGCAGTGGAGGGGTGATGTCACTGCACAGGAGGCTTCCTGTACCAGGGTAGAGCAAAGAGCAAATCCCCTCCCTGCCTACCTCCACTGCCCAAGTGCCTGTAGAAGTGTTGATGCCATAGGTGACTCCCCTCTGTGGGCAACTGAGGGCCCAATTTGACGGCCAAACCTCGCACATAAGGAAGTCCGCTCCCTCGCTGGGGCCCAGCCTAGTGAAGATATCATCTGTTAGCCTCTTGCCTAAAAACTGATTAAATTTATCTTCCTGTTTTTTTCTCCTGCCTGGTGTTTTTGCCTAAAGTTTTCATGAAGGTAAAGATGTTTTTTCCTCTACTAACTTCCTATATGGTTGGGGGTCCTTTTGATTTGAAATCCTTTTGATTCCAAAGACTCCACTGAGTATGTTCTGCTAGGTACAAACTTGAAAACTCAGATAATTAAAGATAGCTAAGTGCAAAACCTTGTTATTTGTCTTCATTTCACTCTACCAGACTTTAAGCTAGTCAGTCAGATGCTGAAGCACTACTGAACAATTTGTCTATAGTTTAAGTGAAGAAGTTTTCACTGCTAAAAAAGGATTTAAAAAATACAAAATAAATAATCCCCCTAAAATCAGCAGGTCTCCTTGCATCTATACAGCTCAAACTGGCCCCCCAAAAGCCAAGCCATTCAATGCCGAGACTTTTAGGATATGACAGTGACGTGAAAGAACGTCTAAGGCTTTACCAAATGAGTCAGGAGACGGGAGTTTTGAAGAAGGCAGACCAAGTCTATCTGAAATCAAATGTCAAAATCACCACAGCATGCTGGGACACCTGTATGTTCGGGCTGTGCAGGTGACCACCTAGACGACTGGTCCCATGTGAGCCTGTTTCTGTACTGAGAAAATGGCAAAATGATGCTGATTTTTCTTTTATCCACTGTTTGCAAATCCCTCTTTTAAATCAAAACCAACATTTGTTTATAAAACTCCTTTTATTTATGGACTCCATAAGTGTCAACCTGCAATTATATATGTATACTAATATCTCTGAAATGGACACTAGCAATACAACAGATTTTTATCACCATAGACCAACAGGCAGAAAATGAAGATTATTTGTCCCAAACATTGCAATGAAGCATTAGAAGATTCCTGCCCACATGAAAACCTGACAGTATGTTCAGCACCACTCAATCCTATTGCATCAGTTAAAGAAAAATGACTCTTGCACCAGCACTGAACTTATTTCAGTACACGCCAGCATTTGTTGAGATAAGAATGCTGCAATTTGCCAGCTTCTGAACTATGCAAGCACAGAAAACAGTTAAAATCAAAAAACAAACACCCAACCAGCTTTGAACTCTTTTCCAGATAATTTTCTCTGGGCTTTTAATATCTCCCATAAAGGCACAACAGAACTCTATATGCATCAAAAGGAGAACAGCGTACAGATTTGATTAACTTCTGTGGGAAAAGCATTAGAGCCTGGCTGAAGAAATACAGACTGATAATTCCTCACCTGATAAATATTTGTACCAGCACCATTGCAGTCCCTCCCTACAGCTCCACACTTCTTGCTTAGTACCGCCTGCTGTAGCTTCTCCTTCAACACGTTACTCATAACCCTAAGACACTTTAAGATAAATTACTCGGGAAACGTACGTTACAGTCATCAGACCAAATGCCCACAGGCGTAGGCTGCGCAACCTCGATTTCTTCCCTTCGCGTGACCAGATGCAAGCATTTAAGCATTAAAAAACCAGCATGACAAAATACAGCACATCAACCCCAGCTGCCCGTCACAAGAGGCTGCAAGCCGCCTTCCGGCACGCCCTGCCGCGCTGCTGACGTTGGGGCGGGGCGGCAGCGGCAGCCATGGCGGCGGCCGTGCTTCCGCAGACGGACAGGTAGGCGCGTGGAGGCGGCGGTGGGGACAGCGCGTCTCCCCGCTCCCAGCCCGCCCCGGCCTGAGCGCCGCTGCGGGGTGAGGGCGGCTCGGCGGGGCGTGCTGCAGCCTGACCTCTTCCTCTGCTTCCGCACAGTATTCGCAGGGCCGTTCTGCTGCTCAACGCCGTGGATTCGGGTCGGTTCCCGCGCCTGCTGTCCCGTCTGCTGCAGAGATTGCATCTGAAGGTGGGTGGCGCGGCTCGGAACCGTTCTGCCGATGTGTTTGTCACCTTTGCCGATCATTTATGTGCTTGTTTGCTTGTTTTTCATTGTGCGTTAGGCATGAAATCAGCAGTTTGGTATCGCTGCGTCGTCCCGAAACATCAAAGGGAATTTAAATGTGGAACTGTAAGAGAAATGATTAAACACAAGTGCTTTTGTTGAGGATTTCTTTCAGCTGTAGTCTTGAGATCGCGTTGCATATCCCTTTGTTCTGTGTTTGCTGAAACACGAAGTTTGCATTATGCTCACGCGCAGGCTGGCACTGGGGCAGTGCAGGGTGGGAGCAGCGTAGGTAGGAGTAAAAGCTTGTTTGTGGCTGCAGCTCAGGGACTGCGAGGGTTCTTTCTTGACTTAATTCTGTTTCTCTGTCCACAATTGCTGGCTTGGATGCTGCTGTTACTGTGGAGAGCTGGCTCAGATATTCTGAGTGGATGCTAGCTCGTTAAGAAAGCATCACTAAGTTTTTCGGTGCTCAGTACCAGATTAATAGCTTTTAACAGGAGCAAGGTTTGACACGAGTAGGCTGACTTAATGAGCCCCATCTCGTGGATCTTCCCATTGCCTTCCCAAAGTACCTGGCCTGGGGATGAAGGCCTTGGAGCCCTTCACTTAATTTACTTTCCTAACAGGGCACATGCCTGGAGCTCTGCATCTGCTTCTAAAAGCTGATCGTTCAAGTAACACTTATGTTTTGATACTGTTCCTGCAGACACTGTGATTGTTGATGTTTTGGTGTGATTGCCTTATCTTGTTTATTCTGTCAGCTCAATTGCCTTTTTTTGGTGAACTCTCCTTTTTTGGGCTATTAACTTGTCGAGATGGTGCATTCTTATGTTTGCAGCATAGTAATTGCATTTTAAAGGATGACTATATGTGCGTTTAAAGTACTGTTTAATTTATTACAGTAATCATGACTGCTGTATTTAAAAGTACAGCACATTCACAGTAATTTTCAGTAAAGTGGTGTAGAATAGGCTATATTTAAATCCAACTTTCAAAGCAACGTGCTTTGACTCAAGGCTTTATTTTCTTTACCACAGAACAGTCATTTTTCAAAAGAAGAATCTGCAGTGGAGGAAGCCTACAGAATTAACTACACAGCAGCTTTTGCTTCCTGTTTTCTTTGGAGTCTGATTCAAGCAGTGTGCTTCTTATTTATGGAAGTTTGTTGCACATGATGATCTGACGCAGTTTTTTAACATTTTGAGAAATGTTTTCTTAGCAGCTCTCAAGCATAAAGAGAAAGCTTTTTTTTTTTGTGGTGTATTTCGAGTGATCCTGATAGAAGCTGCAGTATCTCATAAGAAGTTAAACCTGAATTTCAGTGAGATAAATTAGTTTTCTTTTTTCCTGATGGAAAGGGCTTTATTTTATTTCCAATTAAGAAAACTAGAGAAATGTAGTGTTTATAAAAATGATGAGAAAGCCTTTTTTTTGGCAGATACATGGTGGCTGAACAGAATCAGCAGTCAGCAGTAACCATTCTTGTGTTTCAGGCTGAAACCAGCTTCAGTGAAGAGGAGGAAGAAAAACTCCAGATAGCTTTTTCACTGGAAAAGCAAGATCTTCATCTAGTTCTTGAAGCCATATCATTTATTTTGGAGCAAGTACGTTGTTTTTAGCACTATGAATTGATAAATGCTTTTCTTTTATCAGACTGTAGATTTAAAAATACAGATGTCAAGGTAGAAAATATTTTGTGGGAAAGTGTCTGTGGTATATTACATATGTTTTGGGGGGCATGATTTTCCACTTGTATACTGATTTATATGGAACTCATTGCATTTATGGCGTAATTTCCAGTCAAGGTAAATACAGGCAATGGAAATTAGCTCTGCGTGACTGTCGGGAGTGTTGCTGCACTTGAGGAAGTGTTGTTAATTGTGAGGTATAGCTTTTCCTCTTACTTGCAGGTGAACAGGCACACCTGCTATAGCTCTGGTATCTGAGTGAGTGGGTGACTGCATGTTGTACAGCTGAGTGCCTTGTACGAGGAGGATGTTTTCTGCTTCTGCCCTGGGTTGACACTCAACCACCACTGAGGTGGGAAATGATGGTAAACAAGGTAGCTCAGCAGCTCTGACAGTTGCAGTGTTGCTGCTGCTGCATTTCTGTGCAGGTGCGATAAGTTTTTGTGCATAGGAAGCACACTCTGGTGTTAATCAGATATGCTGTGCTGGGTGACTTGTGTCTTTCTTGCACCTGTCAATTTAATGTTAATTAACCTAGTATATTCCACAGTATCAAAAAGAACACATAGTCCTGCCTGCATTTCCTATCCACCGAACAGTTAAAAACTGTGGCCAGATCCAAACTGGAATTTTGAATTTTCATCTCACCTGGAAACAACCTCTCTGTTTTAATTCACTTGACTGCTTAATTTGTGTAGCAGTTACTGGAGATGAGTAGAAAAATTAGAAAAGCATGTCTTAGGACTTACTTTCTAAATAAAAATATAACCTCAAAACAAATTAATTAGTCCAAAGAAGTTTTCTATATGGAATGCATATTGTTTAAAGGCTCTTCTGCGTTTCCACTGATAGCTACTCTTTTTAGAATTGCTGCTTGTTCTTTCAAAGCATGGCCTTGATAATAGACTTGTGATCTACTGGTGTGTTATAAAAATAAGATTACTGTGTGGTCTTTGCTGTATGTGGTTTAGTTTTTTTTTTTTTAAGGCGTGGAAGAATGATGGAGTCGTGGTGTTTGTTTGTTTTTTTTTTTTTGAGTGGTGGGCACCATATGATAGAGAGTGTTTATCAATGAAATCAGTGCTGTGGCCGCAGTAGCAAACTCACCTTTTCTGCAAAGTACTGTCCCTTCAGAATATTATGTGATTCAGAATATGTGATAGCTTAGCTTTGCTAATAATTTGACAGTATCAAGTGGGAGAAGTTGTTCTTTTTTCATGGTCACAACAGACTTTAAAATGCTTGGGCGCTACCCACAGTGGAAGCATAAGGAGGTATGCTGACTATATGAGGTGCAGTTTGGCCTGGTTCCATGACTAAATGGGTTTGGAGGGCCCATGTCCTGGGAGATGGGGAAGGGTGAAAAGGTAAAAGGTGGTGAGATGGGCCTAAAAAGCCATTGGCAGTTAACTAAGGGAGAAAACTAATTTACAAATCTGATAGTGTAATGCAAGATAACACAATATAATATGGTTGAAATTGAGGTTAAGGAGTCAAATAAAATGAAAGCGTGTGTCCAAAACAAAAGGCCTTACTCTAATGCTGTAGGTGAGATGGTTAGGGAGCACGCTGCAGTGAGAAGCAAGAAGGGCACAGTCTCATGACTCTGGAGCAGTTGTAGCTCTCCCTCTGAATGGAAAACAGAAATGGAACAGTGAAAGTCTGCTGGGGGTTGGACCAGATGACCTCTGGAGGCCTCTTCCAGCCCCTACAATTCTGTGATTCTGTGAGATGTAGTTCTCTTCTCTGAGAGGTACCCTGGAGCTATTGACAGTCTACAGAACTGGACCATTAACTTGTTAACTCCCAGTGCACTGCATGATGTTATGATGTGAAACATCAGTAACAGAAATCGTACAGCCATGATATTCCATACCCTATTCCATATCACCGTGTCATGCTTAATATGTATACAAACAGTAACTGAACTGCACTGAACACACATGCACACACACACATAAATATATGGAATTACTGATTGCACTCCCCAGTATCAAATTCCCTTATGGTGAACATTGAACATCCCCATTTTTCTCCATCACCCACCAAGTGGACCCAGGTCTCTGAACAAAACAGTTCCATGGAGAAGTTTGCCCTTTCCAGAAGCTGGAAGGATCCAAACTGTTTTTCCCAACATGCTTTTTACATGTACCACAGAGACCTTATCTCCCTCTGCAGTATGTAGGGGGCTGGCTTGGGCAGGACTGTGTCCATTGATTGGTCCTCCAGTGTTGACCGAACAGGTGGCTTCTGCTAAATGCTTTTCCCAGTGCTTAAAAGTTCTGCCACTCATTGCTTTCAGCATGGTTTTTAACAATCCATTGTGCATTTACCAGAAGCTGGTACATAATAGGGGATGTGATAAATCCACTCAGTGCTGTGATCTTTGGCCCAAGTCTTTACAGGGGGATTTTTGAAATGAGTCCTATTATGTGACTCAGTTCCTTCTGGAGTGCCATGTCACCACAGGATCTATTTCTTGGTACCTAGTATGGTGTTGAGTTTGGTTTGCATGTGTAACTTTTCATGGTTTATCTTGAATCATCTGTATTATTGCATTTTGAGTTGTGATTGGGAAGGTTACACTCTTCCATTTCCTCTGTGAAATGGTTAGGATGAACATAGTGCTTGCAGTCCCGTTGTAGAGCTGCTAGTAAAAAAATCTTGTGTGCACGTGGAGGCCATCTGTAGTATTGTAGAATTGGTTTGGCACAACTTGTGAAACAGTGCTTTGATGACAGTGGTTATTTTTCCTTTAAACAGGCTGTTTATCACAATTTGAAGCCTGCTTCACTGCAACAACAGCTGCAGAGCATCCACCTGGACCAAGACAAAGCTGAGGCATTCGCTAGTGCATGGGCAGCTGCGGGTCAAGAGACAATTGAGAAGTTCAGACAGAGGATTTTGACCCCTCAGAAGGTAATTCTTACTGTTTAAGAGATTAAAGCTATATAGTTGTGTTTTAATGCAAGGTGTCTAACATAAAGAATCTATGACAGCACAGGGTACTGAAAACAAAAAGGGTACATGTCATCAGTGTAATGATGTTGTGTTGCCTCAAAGAGGTGTTTATGTGTTAGTTTAGCTGCTATAACTGCTTGAACTATGCAGTGTAATGTGCCGTACGTGTCATTTGTGATATGCTTTACACTATATGAACATGCTTTACACTTGGTCATAGGTGTCCAGCTTCTTGGCTTGCCTGTGCCACGTGGGGTGAATACGTATTGTCTTGGGCCACAAGTGAAATATGTGGATAATGTGTTTATAACTACCAAAACTTATTTTTAATATACTTGAATTAAAATACAAAAAGCAGAGAGCAAGAAAACCATAAAACTTGTGGAGTATTAGGATTTGTGAAACTTGTGCATCAGTTCAGTGGAAGTGGTTGCCATTCCTAGTGAGTTCTCAAGGAGGTCAACTGAGATTCTTGATGAAATATGTCTCTTGCCATGCTGCATCATGGAAAATAGTTGTTCACAAGTGTGTGTACTGACAAAAAAAGAGTGATGACATGAGCAAGGTGTGACTGTTGAGTGATGGATGTTTTCCTCAGCTAAGAAAGCGTAGTAAAAATACATGATCAAATTTTAATTTGAGATGAATGTTTGATTGCAACTCTGTACATTCCATTTGAAAATTTGCAGGTAACGTGGTTGTGTTGTCTGAAAGTAGAGTTGCAAATATACCAAAAAATTCTTGATTTTTTTGGGGGGGAATCTTGATTGCTTTTCTCAAATTCCTGTATCAAAACTGCTGATTTTGAAAAAACAAAGCTGCATACTATATGCCAATACATCAAAGTGTGTGAAATTATAACTATAACTTGAGTTTGCCCTAATTTGTTTCATTTTGAGTGCAGTTACTTTTTGAAATGTAGTACAGATAAGGTGATTTTCACCTTGAGGACACATTAAACTCATTTGAAGGAGAGATAAAATCCACCAAAAATGCTAAATCTGTGAGCCATTTTTAATCTTCATGTTCTGGCACAATTTTTCTCTTTGATTCCATAAAGGACTTGATTTTGCTTCACGAATCCAAAAAAGTCTATTTGGCATTTCACTCTGACTTTAGCCCCCTTCCTTCAGAAAAGCAAATGATGTCTTCGTAATCAGCATCCAGACTTTTAAGTACTTTATGCTTTATTCATGGGCTAGCTGATGATTTGCATGACATTATCTGTTTTTAAAGCTTTTGCACCTGATTTTCCTGGATGTACGATGCTGAGGTATTTTATCAAATGTGAGTTGTCAGTGGCAATTGCATAATTTTCTACTAATCTTACAGGTCCATCTTTTTTTTACAGACCATCACCAGGGTGTCTTCAATAGCTGTATAGCTGATGAAGGTTAAAGAAAATTGTTTAAATTTATCTTTCGCTGTTCTAAGTGCATCAGGATATCTAGTTGTCTTTAAATGGCACAGTAGAAGCCATTTGTTCAGTGACATTATACTAACAGTACCTGTAATGAAAGTGGCAGGTTGAGCTGTATTTGTAGCATCAGTGTTTTCATTTATTGCCAAAGCCTTACTTTCCAGATTTCTTGCATTGTGTTTTCCTGTTTCTTTGATTTGCCTGGTTCCAGTCTGGCGAGGCAAACTGATTTTAGAAAAATCCATTATTTTATCAGGACAAATTACATGTGCCATGCTTTCCAAACACTGCTTAGTAAACTAGTGTTCATGAAATTATTTTGATTATTATTAATAATTTTTTTTTCCAATTAGATTTACTACCTCTTAAGTAGTTTTTATAATGGAGTCTGATTTTTAACATTTTTTTTTTTAAATACACAGCCAACAAGCTGCACACGCTCATGCCATGAGTAATTCGCACGGGTTTTGGTGCAGCTGAGTGCATGTAGTGGGTGCAAGAAAGAGAATCAGCACTGCAGTGGGCCCTCCCTGTGTCCTGGTTTCAGCCCAGGCAGTGTTGATCACCCAGTACTGTTTGTACTGAGTGATGGGTGCGTGTCTGGGGCTGGGCCAGGCCTCTTGATGGAGAGTTGTCCATGGCATGAGGCCGGGTATGAGCTGTATTGTGAGTTGTGCCAGGCCATGTGCAGGCTGTGCTTTGGACGTGTGGACCTGCTGTAAAGGTAAAGTGGGCTCGTGAGCACTGGTAGTGGCCTGGCTTGTCTCATTTCTCTGTCATTAGTGTGTTTCAGAGCATCTGCTGCTTTCGATTTTTCTAATCTGGATAATTAAGGAAAGCTTTCATACTTCAGGTGTGTCTGTTGCCAGTTAAAACTAGGGCACGTGCTGTTGAAGTCTGATCCACTGTATCTTTAGACATAAATGAGCAGGTATAAAATCCTGTTGTTTGCTTGTGATGAGCCTTCAGGGAGTGTAAATGGAACCTGTGTCAGTGTCAGACATGATCAAATGATTCAACAGAACTGTTGAACATTGACTTAGTTGTTTTTCATTTTTATCTTTTTTTATCTTACTGGGCTAAGATTTGCTTTTTGTTAATCCTTTCTGTTACCCAATTGGTTAGTGAAATGTACATCGAAAATAAATCTGGTAAGGAATATATGGTACTGACAAATAAGAGCATAGTACAAGCAGCTTTTGTTTTTTTAGAAGTATAGGCACATTTTAAGAAGACAAAATCTGTCAGTTGCAGAGGCTAAAGATATTTGTAATTAGGTTACAGCTGATTTTTTCCAAAGTGTTTGAACTTGATCATGTGGAAAGCTGGGTAATTTTAGGCACGTGTAGAATCAGAAACCGTGGATTCTTGATGTGCAAAGTTCTATTCATTCAGGAAACATAGCAAGTAAATGGCGTACAATGTAAGTATGCAAAAAAAAATTACCTGCACATATTTTTGCCTTGTTTTTTTGAAATAATACTTGTCGATGTCAAGCACATAAGTCCCAGAGTTTGAACTGTCTGAGGTGCAGTGTGACAAGCATAACTTTCTGTTGAGAGAGGTGAGCAATTTGAAAACCAAGTGAAATCATGGAAGATTATAAGGTGAACTTTTCAGAACACAACATGTGTGGGCAGATCAGGAGGTGATTCTGAAGATGCTCTGCCAAGCAAATGTCTCAACAGACTTCTCAGACATACTGTTAGGTGATCTTTTTTTTGCTGTTGAGTTTTCTACTTATAAGAAACCAGTACAAAAACCCTTGATAATCATTTATTTGTAATTCTAGCTGTGTTACAACTTTGTGCCTTTTTTACGTTCTGTGACCTTATTGGGAAAAAATCGCTGTTTCTCTACTATGTCATATAATGGAATGACATTTTGGTAGCATGTTACAATTCATACTAAGTTTAAAACTGTCATTTGTAATTATTTGCATACTATAAAAGTAACTGCAAAATTCTGTCAATTCCTTTTTTAAAATGTTTGTACTTTTAAAATGAAATTTAAGTATGGGCATCTGCCTCTAGAAATGCTTCAAAGAAAAGTTGAAAATCTTTTTTTTTTTTTTTTTTTTTGCTATTCTGGATGGCAAATTGAGTTGCAGCTTGAGGGTGAATGTAGGACTTAAAGTATTGTTTGAGGTTTCAACAGCTTGAATTTACTTCCTCAGTCGGTTTTATAAAACCTTTTAAAATCATAATCCTTTGGACTTCAGTTTAGTGAAAAACTCTGAAGTTCATGAAAGCTTTTCCTTAGGCGAAGGATTAAATCAGTTATTTTTTTCTACTAATAAGGCATATATAGAAAAATATTTAAAAATGGCATGGGAAAGTGAAGGAACTCATGATCTCACTACATGGAATTCATAAGATTACGAGTGTAATAGATGGCTGCACGATCCCCTCATTTATTTCAATCTGTCTTCTATAAGTAATAGTGAATTAACACGTATTTGCTGTGTTGTCTTTAAGAAATTGGGGAAAATATTGTATTAAGATACATTGTTCTAGTAGCTAACTTTCTCTAAATTGTCATAATTAGCACTTGACTTTTTAAAAGAAGTTGATACACTGAAAAACACCTGGTAAGAGATAGGTTTTAGATGAAATTTGTAACTTGGACTTCAAAATTGATTTTTAGAAATTATATTAGATATAATTCTCCTTAAGGAACCTAATTATTCATACTCTGCAGTGTGTTTATGGTTAAAACATTATTTTTAGGAGTTGATCCCATAAATGTGCCCCCCATATACGTACTTCGAGTGTGCTTGTTTACATGGCCCTGTGCAAGTTCCTGGTTTGCTCACTTGTCTCACAAAAGGAATATTTTACATGTGAAAATAAGGTGGTTCATTTGTCCTAACAGTTAGCAATGTGATTGCAAGATAGCTGAGGTTTGAAGGGATGTCTGTAGATCATCTGGTCCATTCCTCATGCTCAGGCATGGCTGCCTGGGGTGGATTGCCTAGGATAGTGTCCAGGCAGCCTTTGAAAATCTGCAAGGAGGGATGCAGGTAGGTTCACTACCTATCTGGGGGAAATGATGCCTTACAGACAATTTCCTTGTGTTTGTATTTTGTTTTTCTTAAACCAGATAGCATTCAGATTCTGTCCTCGTGCAGCATGTGTAGGTGGTAATGCACTGGCTGATAGCTTCATTAAGATTACAGGCCAAATTCAGTTTATTATTAAAACAGAATAAATATTTCTCAGGTGTGGAATATTAATCTCCTCTGTGACATACTGAAAACTGCTCTTAATTGTTAGAAAAAAATGTTCCTTTTTGGGCTGAGGTCTTTGAGTGTTTTTTTTAGTGCAGTCTGCTTGGTTGATAGGAGCCTATTGTCCTGAAAGGTGAATAAAAAGCGTACAGTTAAAGCTTTATCACCTAATATTATTTATTCTTTTACTTCATCCTTTCATTTTCTTTCACTAATCTGTTTATAGTCAGCCTTCAGCTGCCCAGTATTATTAATTATGTATAGTCTACTGTTGCATTAATTAGTTCTTTGAGTCTTTCCTACTATAGT